ACATCATAGTGACTGGTCGACCAGTGGTTTGGTTGTTCAGTCGTTAATGGTTGCTTAGGCTTTTATATAGATGATTGATAGATAGATAGATGTCAAGTAATCATTTCAGCTCTTATAATTATTCTTAGGATTTATTTCTGAATTAATATTAACACATTTTGCTTGTTTTTACCTTTAGGTAATCCAGCAATGACTGTTATAGTGCCTTAAATCTTAGCTAGGATTTGGAAGTTTATTCAAGAGATAATGTCAGCCAAAACCAATTTAGCTCAGTGGATAGAGCGTCAGTCTGCGGACGGAAGAGTCCCAGGTTCGATTCCGGTCAAGGGCATGTACATTGGTTGCAGGCACATCCCCAGTAGGGGGTGTGCAGGAGGCAGCTGGTCGATGTTTCTACTCTCTATCTCTCTCCCTTCCGCTCTGTAAAAAAATCAATAAAATATATTAAAAAAAAAAAACTAGGTAAACAACTATATATCTGACACCTGAGCTCATGACCACCTTAATTTCATTTTTTGCTTAAACATGAAGTAAAACCCTCACAAATGACTTTTATATTTAATAGGAGGCCACACTCTTAATCATTCTGTTCATAAGAGAATAATAGTTTTTGATTGAAAAAAAATCTATCAGATTTCTTTTGACAGAATAGAGGTATAAGCTAGAAAAGCTTCTTTATATCTTGCATAAAGGAGTGGGGAAATGACTTAAAATTTTTGTTATGACTCCATTGCCTGTGTGTATTGAACTGTAACTTTCTCTACATTTTAAAGAGACACTAGAAAAACATTACAACAAAAAACAAATAAAATTTGGGTAGCAGTCATTGTATTTGTACATGATAGAACACTTTTCAAAACCAGTTTAACCATGGAATAGCTATTTTAAATAATGTATTGATAATATAAAAAAGTATTAATCCTTAAAGTAAAATGCTTTTACAGATTACTTGCTATTAGAAATGATCAAATTTTTATTAACCAGCTTAATATGCAATAAAAATTAAATAATAGTTCAAAAAATATATTAATTCATTTTTACAACTAGATTAAGACTAGAGGCAATGGAAAAGACACTACATAGTCTTTGAAGTTAGACAAACCTTGGTTTAAATCTTCACTCTACACCTCCTGAGCTAATTGGGCAGATTATTTCCACTCTGTAAACCTATTTCCTCATTTGTAAATGGAAATAATGTACCAAATTGGTGGTGTTATTTTTAAGAGATTAGTAATTTTTTGTTTTGTTTTGTTGTTGTTAATCCTCACCCAAGGATATTTCTCCATTGATTTTTAGGGGGAGTAAAAGAGAGAGAGAGAAAGACAGAGAGAACCAGGGTCCAGGCCAGAAAGAAACCTGCAATCGAGGTATGTGCCCTTGACCGGAATCAAACCTGGGACCTTTTGGCCCACAGGCCAACACTCTATCCAATAAGCCAAACTGACTAGGGCAAGATTAGTGATAATTTTGTATAAATTACCTTATTTGTGATAGTGTATATATTGTGACATGATAGTGTATAATTGGCTATATTGGCATATAATTACTACTTTTTTAATACAGTTGCCTCTTGAACAACATGGGTTTGAACTGTGTGGGTCCACTTTTACATGGATTTTTTAAAAAAATTTTTATTGATTTCAGAGAGGAAGAGATAGAAATATCATTGATTGGCTACCTCCTGCATGAACCACATGGGGGATCGAGCCTGCAACGTGGGCATGTGCTCTGGCCTGGAATCAAACTGTGACCTCCTAGTTCATAGGTGGATGCTCAACCACTGAGCCACACCAGCTGGGAATGGATTTTATTTTTTTCTTTCAATAAACACATGCACTGTTTTCAATCCATGGTTTGGGAGGTCACATATGCAGAGAGCCAACTGTATGTACTGATTTATGCCATTTTATATTCACAGATTGTTATATCTTAGGGGTGCAATGTGGGAAGGTGCCTAGAATCAATCCCCCTTGGATACTTAAGTTTTGGAGGAGTCAAAAATTATAAACAGATTTTCAACTGCACAGGGGTCAGCACCCTTACCCCTGCCTTGTTCAAGGGTCAGCTTAAAGCTGTCTGAATAACATAGAATCACTTGCCAAAACTGATTTGGCTCAGTGGATAGAGCATTGGCCTGCGGACTGAAAGGTCCCAAGTTCGATTCCGGTCAAGGGCATGTACCTTGGTTGCAGGCATCCTCAGTAAGGGGGTGTGCCAGAGGCAGCTGATCGATGATTCTCTCTCATCGATGTTTCTAACTCTCTATCCCTCTCTCTTTCTCTCTATAAAAAAATCAATAAAATATATATTTTTAAAAATCACTAGTTATATAGTAATATTCCATAGTCAATTCTTGATCATACTCATATTGATTAAACTTCATTGAGTTCAAAACAGCTAAATAAACTTAAAGCAATTCATTTTTAGCTTGAAATACAATTATTTCTGCAGCAAATTAACTATGTGAAGGCTATGCATAATAGAAACAAAAAGTTGGCTATGTTCGAATATATCTTTATAACTTATAAAGTTATTCTTATAATTCTTATAATTATAATTTAAAAAACTATAATACTCCATCCAACAATGATCAGAATGCATGATGAGGTCCATGTCTTTTCTGCTCACTCTTGTATACCTAGTGTCTGTACAGTGCCTGGCACAAAACAAGTACCCAGCAAATATGTTTAATTGCAGCCCACATACAGCCACTTAAGATTACTAGATGGTACTTAGAACTTGTCCAATGCTAGAAAAATAACCCAAAGTAATAAAGGAGCACACTTGAAGAGTAATTTTAATAGAAAATTAGTCAGAAGCCTTTCAGTCCTTAAAAAAGTCATAAAAGGACCTTAACTAAACCACCAGCATGGACCCATTGGGAAGATGTAAGACTAAGTCAGAAAATTAAAGACCATCAACTGGTAAAGAGGAACACTAGAGCAAGTGAAAGTCAACAGCAATAAACAACAAAGAGTTACAACTATACAAATAAAAACTAATATATACATTCATCATTAATTTAAAGCAGAAGGTCTTAAAATCAGCAATTTAATTTAAAGCAAAGGTCTTAAAAGGGGTCCTAGATTTTCCAACTTTCTGTTCACTCTTACAAATCACCTATTGTTTTGTTTTGTTTTTTAAGTATATTTTATTGATTAAAAAAAAAATTTTTTTTTACAGAGAGGAAGGAAGAGGGATAGAGAGTTAGAAACATCGACCAGCTGCCTCCTGCACACCCCCTACTGGGAATGTGCCCGCAATCAAGGTATAATACATGCCCTTGACCAGAATTGAACCAGGGATCTTTCAATCCGCAGGATGACTCTTAGCCACTGAACCAAACCGGTTTTGGCATCTATTGTTTTGTTATTGTGTGCTGTAGCAAGCCTTATGAAAGATGCAAAGATGAGGTTCAACCTGGTACAGAAGGAAGTCATGTGCACACAGATACATCTAATAAATGTCTGGAACCCTGAAACCCGGGCAAGAACCTGATCTGATGCCTACTCTAGTCCTTTCCACCTCTACGCCATCTCCTAGTTTGGTTATTTACTTACTCCTCTATTTTCAAATTTTAAGTGCCAGCCACTTGAATTCTAGTTTGCTTAGTTCGTTTAGTTCCTTTATCTTTGGTCTCTTAAAAATATATATATTTAAAGGGAGTTAGTTTTTAGATTTTCAATTTTATTAGATACTAGAGGCAGGTGCATGAATTTGTGCACAGATGGGATCCAGCCAGCAGCTCCAAACAGGCCAGGGAATTTAGCAGGAGGTTGGCTGGCTGGCCCTGTCCCCCACTGGAGTGGGAGGAGCTGCTGGGAGGGTGGGGCCACCTGTCCCTAATAGGGTGGAGGGGCTGCCATCTGCCCCCTGATAAACTCAGTAGAGGGGACAATTTGCAGATTAGCGTTTTATTGTATAGGAGGATGGTATAGGCAATGTTAAAATCAAGTTCTAATAAAAGTCCTTGTACACCTTTAAAAGGTTTGTCAAACATTTTAATGACATCTCAAATTCTCCAGTGAACAAAGGAAGATGATGTATTTCTGCCAAAAGGATGCGCAGCAGTTAACTGGTTTCAGCAAAATGGGGACAATTACGTTTCACAGTAAGCCGTCCTCTTCCCAGAGATCTTAAAATCAAGTTGTTCAGTTCTTCTGATCTCTATATTTTCTCCCTCCCAAAGTTAAGTCTAAGTAAGATAATTTGGTAATGTTTTTATGTCATTTCCTTCGGTTTTAACATTTGTAACGGAATCAGAAGAATACGTGTTTGTGAAAGGCCCCCAAAATGCCATTTACACACGAAAATTAAGCATGGGGTTTAATAAGCTATGCTGCACAACAATTCCATCAGACACTTTAAAATATGGAGTAATATTTTCCCCTTCTCCGTAACTCCTCCGTGGAGTTATTGACTCTGAAGACACTGAAGTTGGGACACGGAGACGGAAACACCAAGTTTAAATGACTGGACACGGAGGCAGAGAGCGGGGCGGGGCCCAGTGCTGACCTCAGCCGCTTCTCCAAAACTGGCATCGGGGGTCGGGGAGACACGAGACACTCGCCCGTGAACGAGGAAGAGCTCACACACCAAAATGTTCCTTTTAGACCCACCGGCTTCCGGGGCTCGGCGGCGAGAGCCTCGCAGCTAACACAGCCCCAATTTTGCCAAGAAATGCTGAGAGAGCGGCGACCAATTTCAGGGGACTGAACCCCAAATCATCTCACCTCAACTGGACTGACAAGCGAGACTGTGCCCCCGCGGGCGCAGGAGGCCTCCACCCAGCCCCCCGGGCCCAGACTTCCCCTGCCCCTCCCCGACAGCCCGGCCGGGACCCACGGGCGGGGGGCCAGGCCCACCCGACCCCGCCCGGCCGGCCCTCAGCCCGCGTCAGGCCAACCGAGCTCCCCACCTCCTCCGCCTCTTCCCCTCCGTCCTCCCGCGTCCCCCCGTCAGACCCGGCCGGTGGTCAACGGACCTCCCGCGCCCACTACCTTGGTCGTACGGATGTGCTCCATGCCGGGGGGGCGTGGGCCTGTGGGCCGCCTCACAGGCGCACCATGAGGCGAGAGAAGCTGGGCGGAGGCGGCGGCGACCCGGACCCAGCGGGAACCAGTTCAGCTGGGGAGCGCCGAGGCCCGCAGCCCGCCCCCGCCGAGCCCGCCCGCCGCGCAGGCGCAGCCGGCCAGCCCGTCTCCTAGAAACACTTCCCCAAACCGCGGCCGGGGGCGTGGGCGGGGCTAACGGAGCGCTTGCGGAGGAGAGCGTCCTCTGCGGCCGCCGCACGTGCCACAGTGCCCCCTGCCGGTGGAGGGCTCAGCCGCCTGACGGAAGGCGGCCCTCTGCTGGGAAGCTGGCAGAGGAACCGCAGAGCTGGCTGTGGAGGGGGTCCCCAGAGGACTCTGCTCTTAAGAAGGAATCCTTTATTTTTAAATAAATAAATAAATAAATAAATAAATAAATAAATAAATAAATAAATAAATAAATAAATAAAAATAAAAAGGAATCCTGAGAACATGCTGTGAAAAGAGAATTCGGTGGGCTAGAAGGGCAGTTGTCCCTGAAGTCCATCACCCTACCAGCGGACAGCACCAAATGTCAATGCCTTCTCTTCACTTGGAGCTGCAATTCTACTCATAAGAATCTAATCTAAGGAAATAATCAGATATACTTAATTTAGCCTTATTTGAAACATCAATCCCCGCCCCCCCCCCCCCATATTCTGAAATAACATAAATATAAAAAGCCAAAGTGAGAGGCGACAAATATTTACTTGAGGTCTGAAAAGGAATAGCTATCCAGGAAGCACTGATTCAGGGAGAAACCTGAATTAGTGTAATAATTAGGAGACAAAGGCAAGGGATATTTATGAGAAAGATAAAGGAAACAATTATATTAATGGAAGGAAGGCACATCTATTAGTGCAATAAGCTAATATAGTGAGACTAATTCTAAACAACGTTTTCAATTTTCAGTCTGGTAGCCATCAGTCAGTAAAAATAACATCTGCTTTCTTGTTTGAGATGCAATGTTGCATTATGCCCAGTCACAAAGTTAATTTGCCCTGTTTTAACATTCCAAAGCTTTGAGGCATAAGATTTGCATTCATTTCTTCCTAATATTTAATATTTATTTTTACACTGTTTAAAAAACCATGGGGTGAGGGCATGAGTGTGGCGAGGGCAATGGGGGGATAAGGACACATACGAAATACTTTTATCAATAAAGAAAAAAAGCAATAGGGGTATTGAGAAATAAATACTTTTTCTCTTAAAACAACAACACTTGGGCCCTGTCCCTGTAACTCAGTTGGTTAGAGTATTGTCCCCATATATGCCATGGTTGCGGGTTCTATCTCCAGTCAAGGCACATAAAGGAAGCAATCAATGGATACATAAATAAATGAAACAACAAATAGATGTTTCTCTTTCTCAATCAAGACAAAAACTTTTAAATCTACTTAATTTCCCTACAAAATGCACGAGATGCCGAAACCAGTTTGGCTCAGTGGTAGAGCATCGGACTGCGGACTGAAAGGTCCCAGGTTTGATTCCGGTCAAGGGCATGTACATTGGTTGCGGGCACATCCCCAGTGGGGGGTGTGCAAGAGGCAGCTGGCCGATGTTTCTCTCTCATCGACGTTTCTAGCTCTCTATCTCTCTCCCTTCCTCTCTGTTAAAAATCAATAAAATATATATATTTTAAAAAAATGCACGAGATGTTTAATGCCATGATTGTCGTGTGAGAAAACATTTTATATTCTAAATGTTGGTGCTTTTAGAATTATGTTTACTGTTTACCAGCTAACGGAATATTATAAAAGCAATCATATTTCCTAATCTGGGTGCTTCTCAAATACATAAATCATTAAAAGATCAAGGACATTTCACTTGATTATATTTCTCAACTTTTATTTTTAGGTATATTATTGCAGAAGATCAAGACTATAATCAGAATTATTTTTGGAATCAAAACTATCTGAAGTCAAATCTCATTTCTGTCACTTACTAGCTGTATGAATTTAGTACAGTTACTTAATTTCTCTAACTGTTGGTTTTCTTCTTTCTTTCTTTTTCTTCTTTTTTTTGTCACACATCATCCTTTATTGTGAACAGCAGGAGAGACACCTCCAGCAACAGTAAAAAAAAATTAATTTACAAAAGCAGGGATTCCTGCTAAATGAAATACAATGAGGCTACTGGTGCAAATTACTGAGTAGATAATGTTGCCTGACATTGGGGTCAGTGGTGTTGTTAGCAATGGGAAGGTACTTAGAGTTAAACAAAAGATTGTTCAAATGAGGAAGCCTGCAAGTTGTGGGCTGGTCACAGAGGGTAAAATTATAAATATGCTAATATGTCTTGCTATCATAATATGACTTTGTTGTTAATAAAATATTGAAAAAATATAATTACATTTAAATATGGTTAGACACAGGGTGGTTGAAATTCTTATCTGATATTTGACCATATTTTAAACTTTTATTCTGATAGCCATAGTTGGGGGGGAAAATCTACCCAAGGATGGCAATTACTGCTGTCAATTTTATAGTAAAAAACAAACAAACAAAAAAAAAAGCCTCCTTCTTTATTTGGGATATTTAGGGGGGAAAAACTTTTTAATTCAACTCATGGTGAAAATTATTCTAGGGTCAGCTTGAGCTTTTCCTATTTTTGTTTTTTGTTCTTGATTTTTACTGTAAAAATGTAGATCCAATTTACAAAGAGGGGGAAAGTCCCTATTTAAGTCATTCATACATAGGTAGTCACAATATAACTTACAAACTAACTTGCATTAGTTAAAAATGGTTATTATTCTTAAAATAAAATTACTTTTTTGTGGGGTTAAAAAAAAAAAAAAAAAAAAAAAGCAGGGATTCAGTGCAGCTGCCTGGTTGGAGCCTGTGGAAGCTCATACGTGGGTGCCAACCCTGAGCAGCAGAAAGAAGACCCTAAAGCCCATGGAGAGTGAGGCCACCAAGGAAATGAGGAACTCCTTGTAGATGTCCAGAGTGTACTTGGTGGACGTGACCTCATACATGAAGAACCAGGCGGTGAAGAACATGCCAATGGCCAACAGCACCACGGTCAGGTAGAGGAAGATGCTGGGTTCACGGAGCTGGTGTACCTGCTCATGGCCTCTGCTCCTAGGGGCACACAGATCAGAGATGGCAAAGAATCCAACGACTTCAACCTGGGGGCCTGGTGGGGTTGTCAAGGAGCCTCATGCTTCTGTGACTGCTTACCGCCTGTCTCAGCCTGGGGAATGTGGCAATCCTTCACCAACAAGGATGTGACAGCAACTGCATCTGAAACTACGGTGGCACTTTGTCATTTCACATTTTGCTGGGCACTGGGTAATCGGCCACTCCTAACTGTTGGTTTTCTTATCTGTAAATACCGGTGGTAGTAGTACTTCTTATCTCCTCCATTGAGTTATTTGTGTTGGTTAAATGAAATAATGGAACAGAAATACTTAGGCATAGTGGCTGGCCTCAATAAATTCTCAATAAATACTGGTTGTGTATATGTGTGTGTTAAGCAGAATGCATTCTAGTATCCCCAGAGATGTCTGGATATCTGCTGAAACTCATTCTAATTCTGCAGGACTGATCATGCCAGTAAATTTATCCAAATCAGGCTGTGCTCATTTGGGGAGGCTGAGTGAAGGACAAAATATTTGTTCTTAACTGAAAGCACTGTATAATGTACTAAAGTGATCATATTATGTGCTTCATGGTTTTGCCTGGTTGGATAGGTTTTAGGCATAAAGATTGTATGATTATTTTACTGTCAAGTTTTTAAAAAAAAATATATTTTATTGATTTTGTACAGAGAGGGAGGGAGAGAGATTGAGAGAAATATCGATGAGAGTCATCGATCAGCTGCCTCTTGCACACCCCCTACTGGAGATATGCCCTCAACCAAGGTACATGCCCTTGATCAGAATCGAACCCAGGACCCTTCAGTCCCCAAGCCAACACTCTATCCATTGAGCCAAACCGGTTTCGGCAAGTTTTAAAATTTAATAACCAAAAAACTGGGCTTTCATAGAAACTGCTTTCATTGGAGTTTTATTTCTGTAAAACATAAGATGTAAAGTGTTTTCTTTTTTTTTTTTTTTTTTTGTTAATAAGACACACAGAAGCTATCTGGGAACCAGTTTTAAACTTGGTGCATGGTATGTGGCAGATTGTAATACCGTTCACCAAACATTCCAGTTGCCATCTCTGCAGTGCTCCACTCTGTGGAATTTTGGGAGTTACTGCAGCATAATTTAAAGTACTCTGAAATGAATGAATTTTGGAGGGACACAATTCAGTCCATAGCAGGTGGCAATGTCCAAGCTCAGTGCAGGAGAAAGTACTGCATTAAGGGGAGTTATGAGATATAAGGTTAGCAAGAGCCAGAATAGAATCACTGAGTTTTTTTTTTATTAAGGCAATGTTGTGGTGAGAATTCTGTTTTAGGAGAGCAAATTTGGTGGTTGCTTATGGATAAATTTTATTGCAAGGAAAAAAAATCGCATTTACGGGAGGAGTACTGAAACAATGCCCAACAGAAAAATAAAGACCCATGTTATGATGGCAGCACCTAAAAGGCCCTGCAGCCAGGAACCCTTTCATGATCCTTTCTCTAGAGGGGAATCTCTTCCTTACATCCCATTTTTTTCTTATGTTTCAGGGCTGCTCACGGAACACCTAAATCTCATATTATATACTGTTTTTCTGTAATTTTTTAAATGCCTTTCTTTTGCAGTTCCTCTAGTGATAGTAGTGGCACCGGAGAGCCGCAAAGCCGTGAGGTCGCCGTCCGGGAGGGACGGAACCCGCGCTCTGCCCCAGGTCCCGCACTCTGAGCAGGAAATGCGGAGACTGTTTAGACTTCACATCCGCTGCCATTCGGAAGGCCGGTCCAGTTGTTTGCTCAGCACCTCGCACAGGGCCAGCCACCCCGCCTACCAAAGGATGCTCTCCTAGTTTCCTCCGGGGCCGCAGCCGCGGGCCCCGCGCGCCCTGGAGCACAAAGGTGGTGCTCACGTCGTTGAACCGATGAGTGAATTATTATTGATTGATTGCCAAACTGTTAGGAAGCATATACCTCCTCGTTTTTCAGAGGATGGCAGGCAGCAAAAGACTAAAATCACCCTCTTTCGTGTAAGGGGGAGGATAGACATGG